GGGGGGGGGGGGGGGGGGGGGGGGGGGGGGGGGTACTCATGTAAACGCATGCCGTAGTCGTTAGATCATGGACCTCGTATCCCTGCAATGCCGAGTTCAGCTGTTCGCCGGCCCAGGCTAGGAGGGGTGATTGTGTGGGCAAAGAGGGAATCACCGACAGCAGCTCCAAGCAGTTCAGCAGCGGCGGAAGCGCAGAAAAGCATGAATCTGGTTTTTCCAAACCTCGTGGCCTCTCACAACAAGCCCAACGGCGGCTGAAGGCAACATCAGAAGAAGACGAAGAGCTATACAAACAACGAACGACGTATGTATGTCCTTGGAAGCTTGACTCGACTCACCCTCGCCCTTCGCACCCCAGGGCACGCGCCGCCTCGGCCTTGTCCTCTCCCACCGCCGAGGCCTGTAGCAGGAGACTCGCTTCGTCCACCTCAAGGCATAGCGTGCGCAGCACCTTCCAGCACGGGACGGAAAAGGAAAAAGTTGCAACAGTCGATGATCGGATTGGTAATACGACCAAAAGACAGCGACAGAAACAGCACTTACTGATATGCTATAGAAACGAAAAACAAATCTACAGCCCCCCTTGGGGAAGGACAAGAACAGACGGTGCATGCGAAAAAGACCGCAAGAGACCGGTGCCACCAAAATTCGCCGCGCTTTGCACACATGGGCCATTTACTTTCGTCGCCAAACTTCACTGGCCCCGCAAGCAGGAAACAAACTACAGCATGGCGAGACGCCAAACGCATTCACGCACCAACGTCATCTTGACGGGCAAAACAAGCAGCAAGCACCACCACGAGCATCGCCACCATCACCAGCAGCAGCAGACAAACGGCACCTGCGCGATGTTGACCTCATACAGCGCCACCCGCAGGTTCTTGTCGCACGGCGCCCTGAGCGCGAGCGACTGCAGGGCCTGTGCCTTGGCGACCTGCGCCCAGACGGGGACCACTACCCCCCTTGTGTACGAAAAGGGCATTCTGACGATGCCCCTCACCCCCACCCCGCCTCCGCGCCGCCGCTCCGTCCGCGGCGGCTCCATGCAAGCGAGAGCGACGGCGCGTCTCTGCAGCTCCGTCTCTTCCGTCCAGTCAGACATCGGGCCTGCTTCCCATCGGCGATAAGAGATGAGCACATTGTACGGGAGTGGTGGTGTCATGCTGCGAGCAGAAAGAGGAGGGAGTTTTTTTTTGTCTGAAACTTGACCTCAACACCAACGGCGCAAATATTGGGGTGGCGTATGACGTTGGGCAGGAGCCATGTTGTCTATGGGCGTGGTGTCATGCCCTGCGACGGGGCGGGGCGGGCGGGGTGGGGTGGCGTAAGACGCTTGGGTAGGAGGCACCCACCACAAAACACAGCAAAGGAAAGGCTGAAAATCCACCCAGGAACCAGCGTAGGGGGGGGGGAGGGAGAGGGTGGAACGGGGAACCATCGGGAAATATGTAGTCCAGAATCTTACGGCACATTCCGTTTGCGCTTGCGTGGACAACGAAAATGTGAGGGATGTCGTCCGCGTTCTAAGGCGATATCACGTGGTGTCCCCGGCCTCCAAGCAACAACAAAACAATAGCACACACCCACGGGAGCAAAAAGAAACCACGAACAAGAAACGCACGCGCCTCGCGGCTGTCACATCGACAGCAACAAGATGGCGAACGGGTCGAACCACTCGCGACAATACTTCCGCCAGCACAGCGCTAGTAGCAAGGGCAGCCGCTGTAACAAGCCAACCCCATTCACGCTGCTCTTCTCAACGATGTGGGAATGTTCAGCTCCGCCGCAACCGCTGGTACGACCGTCCCTTCTACTCAAACAAAACGATTCATACGTACACCCAACATCCCACCCACTCTTCCGCTTCCACAGCACCGGCGCGCAGGCAAACCGCCACGAGTGTACGACAGTACTTCACAGTCACCTCTGGTGTAAGAAGAGGCTTCATGACCCCCCGCACCGCCGTTACCGCCGCCAAGCCCCCTGGCCTGAAGGAAGTCCCGCTCCGCCGTCCGCAGTACGGTCTCGTGGCCGATCGAAAGCGAGTCTAGAAGCATGGCCGCGGGACTGGCAGGCACGTTCGCCGCCGCCGCCGGCCGTCCTCCCGCCCGGTCCTGCTCGTCGCTCGCGGCGTCCACGGTGGCCTGCCAAAGTCGCAGGAAGTCTTGCGACTAGGCGTGACGGGCGGGGGGATCGGGGGGGGTGGGGAGGGTGCGTGCCTTAGCCGTTAGACCACGCATCCTGGAGGGGGCGGAGTATTGTCGCCACAGGACCCTTCACCGATGGCCCGTCGTTCCTTCCTACTGTGCCAAAGGAGGCGGCGATTCAGAGGACTTTGCTTTCGTTTTGTTTCACATGTACCCGACGAGAGGTACAACAGCAGCGGCGGCCGCGGCGGCGGCCATTAGCACAACAACAGTAGCACGGTAGCAGCTAAGGAACATGGCAGGAGGAGACAGCGTGGCGGCGATCGATCGACGCAAGAGCGGCGAGGGGTGGTGTGACCGTCGAGCCCAGCATGGCCGGCCCTCCCGGGCCATACGGCTGTCGGGGACGTGGCGTGCGCATGGCACTGCGGTGACAAACTACAGGTGTGTAGGCACGCGCGAAACGTGACCTACAGCAACGACGATTGACTTATTGTTGACGCAGCGAGAGAGAGAAGAGGCAACACTTTTATGGGGGGCACGCGTCAGCAAGGACGAGGGGGAGCTTGGGCATTGCGGGGGGCTACCGCTCTCCCTCCGCCCCTCAACGCCGTCAGCCAGAACGCCCGTTGTAGCAAAAGCACATCCACCTTAGGCCGCAGAGCACGCGTGCTTCGAATGGTTCCTGCCCACTCAGCCCCGTCTTCCAAGTGATGCACGTCATCAATCACCCCGAGGCACATTCAAGCCGTCTCATCTTGCGGCCGAAGCGAGTCCTAGGCTTGCTTTGCTTTCGCCAACAATCGAACGTCACGCTCGGATCCCAGCAAAGGGTCTGTCTGCCTAACGAAACGATCCCTCACCGCCACGATGATGAAGTTCATGAGCTTGGTCAAAAACCCGTGCAGCGCAAAGTTGGCAGCCGTCGATACCACGATCAGGTAGGCGACTAGCAGGCGCCCCACTCCCTCTCCCACCGTGGGCTGGCCACCCCCGCCGTCCTAGACAAATGGCAGAAGCGAAAGCGAAAGCGGTGCCGTGAATCGAGAAGCAACGGCGACGTTGGCGGCCCAAGAGTATAAAAAAAGCCCGTTTGATAGCTGGGATCAGCAGATGACACCTCGTGAACACGCAACAGCAGCAACAGCAGCGGCGGTAGTCCAAACGGCGGTAGTCCAAACGGCGGTAGTCCAAACAGATAAGAGCAAAGGACAGCACATTCGGTAGCGAAAAAAGCGCCCTCCCTCCCCCGCCCCCGCCCCGCCGGGAAAAGCCAATCCAAAGACAAGCGCGGTAGCATATGATGTGGCAAAAACACGCTCCCCTCTTCACGCAACATTGGCCTGTGACCAGACGTCGTCACAATCAACAGAAGACCGCAATCGCATGCACCGGAAATTCCCGGACCCTTCAAAATCCAAGGCAGTAGTATTATACTACGACGTGGACAACCAAAGGCGCCGAGAGACAAACAGCAGCAGCGGCAGCGGCAGCAGCAGCAGCACCGACGACGCGGTGGGCGGATTGTTCTTGGTCGCACGAAATGCATACATACCCCGCAGCACGACATCACCCACCGCTCCCTCGGAGGTCGAAGCAGCGGCGGAAAGACCGAGCAACACCGACAGCGCGCGTCCCACCATGCTCCCGGTAAGCAGCTCGCTCACGGTCCGCACCACTCTTGTTGCGAACAAACGAGCGATGCCAACAACAACAACAACAACAACAACAACAGAGATAAAAAACAGCAGTAGCAGCAGCAGCAGCACGTGTGGGACGCAGACAGGGTCGGAGACATCGCTTGTCAAGCCTTCGCTTTGGAAACAATTGCCCTTGTAGCTCATGTCAGACTTGCAGTAATGTTGAGGAGTACACGAGGCAACGGTGTTGAAATATGTAGGAGGGGGACGCGCGAGCGGGGGGGGGCATCTGTTTCTCAAAAATTTAGTTGAGGCCTCGTTCCCGCACCTCTAGTCGTGTGACTGTACCTTCGTGCTCTGCTATTTCTAGGCCTCAAAGCCGAAGGGCTGCGGTTCGGACACAAATCCCGGAAGGATACCCACACCAAACAGCAACACCAGCCAGATTTAGTTGTCTCAACAGCCCGCCACTTCAAGCCGGCATAGACTGGGGCAACACTGAGGGGTTGCTTGCCGGCATGATATACATTGTGATTCCAAACTCCGCCGTTTACTTCCGCCGAGTTCAATCGTGATTGCGGCTTCGAATGCGAAGACCGTGTTCATGTAGTCGCGGAATGTCCGTTGTACAAGAAGGAGAGGGAAGTGTACGTGACTGAGCTGGGAAAAATAGATGGAACGTACAGGGAGATGTTTGAGGCATGGAATAGAGAGGAAAGGACGGTAGCTGTACTGGGGCATAGGAGGTGGGTTGAAAAGGCGGGAAGGGATATCGTTAGGATAGACAGACCAGGGAAGACATTTTTGAGCCACCTTTGGCAAAGTAGAAAGGAACGATTGGCCATCGGTGATCGGTCCTGTGGGAACAATGCTTCGTCCTCTCGAGGACGCGTGTTCAATGGTTTAACCGCTAAGGCATGCAAAACACAAGCATAAGAGTACGCCCCCCCCCTTTTCCCTAGAAATTTCTGTGCTCGATCCGCTGAGGCTACGACCTAACGCTTTCTCACTAGTCGGCTCGATATCTCGATTCAACACCTGTATAAGGGGGAAAGCATGCATACACGCACACGCTTCTCATCCATAGTCGTTCGCACCCCCTCCCCTATCGGGGGATGTAGCTAACAAGGGCGTTCTCAACATATCTGTTATGCCGCCGAAAGACCTGGGTATTTCTCGTTTGTCGCCTGGTCGGCCCGGCCGATGCTTCATCAAAGAAACACACACAACACACAAACACACATTTCACTAGCCAGTCGGTTGGCGCGGTCGTTTCGAACAAATGGGACACACATGTCGTCCAACTCCTGCCCCTTCCCTATCCGCAGAACCCTTTGGCTAGAACGCGTGTCCGCGATCTTGATACCGCTATCAGACATCAGACTGATGACCTGCTGTCATTGGTCAGCCGGTTAGCGCTGTCGATGCTTATCAAAGAAACACGCACACAAACACATTCACACCATCCGTTGGTCGGGGTCTCTGGGGACACGGAGGAACAAAGCCCGCGCACAGATTCCAGCTAAATACGCAAACAATGCCGCCTTTTCATTCCCAGCCCGCTAAGACTTGCGTCCACCACACGCCTTCGCCAACGTGGCCACCGTTTGGCCCACAGGGGCAGATCGATGCCTGCAAAAAAAAAAAAAAGACACACACACACGCAAAACACTGCACGCAAAACAAACGCCCTCTCTCCCCACCGATGATCACCATCGTCGCTGCTCACAGATACCCGCAAAACACGCACGCACAACAAACGCCCTCCCTCCCCACTGCCGTCCGAACGACACAACAAACGCCACCACCCATCACTCACAGGTATCCCGCCCCGATGACGGCGCCGCAAAGCAGCCCCTCCTTCGCGCTCCCACAGGCCTCGCCCCGGAGGTAGGCCGGCATGGCCGCACCGCTGGGCAGGCCGAGGCGGAGGTGGTGCCTCCGCTCCCTCAGGAAGCAGACCGCCGACCACGCGCTGCAGGCGGCGCCCCCGGCCACGAGGCCGCCGAGCGCGCCGGAGGTCTCCGCGAGCCCCCCCGCTGCGAGAGGAGAGGAGGAGGCGAGGGCGGGGCGGGTATGAAGTCCAGAGTGGGGGGGGGGGGGGGGGGG